GGACTCGGTGCAACAGATTTAATGGAAGCCCCCTGGACTTTGTCCCCTGTATGCCATCTGTGTGTCCTGCCCCCCACACAGGTTCTGGCTTGTGGCTGGCACAGGAGGGATGATCTTTGGTAGCAACCCCCAGTGACACACCAGAAAGACTGCCCTGTGCCAGCAGCCAGTTGTCACCTTGCCAGTGGAGAGGGGATGGCTGTGAGTCTGTTCTGGAGCCCATGACCAGTCTGAATAACAGGACATGTTCCTCGGTGAGCCAACACCTAGCAATACTTGGCCCTCATTTTCACCTTGCCAGTGGGCTGAGTTGTAGGGACCCATCTAACAAGGAAAAGGACCCCCAGACCCCTATAGCCCAGGAGCAAGGGAAAAGAAGGAAGATCCCCCCAAAAAGGGTTCTTGGACACGCCCCCAGTGCCCACTGCCCACGCAGCCCATCAGTGTCACCTTGACAACAGAGACAAAGTGGAAAGGTTCAGCTTGACCCCGGGATGACGATGGTGATGACACGGAGGAAGACCTGCCAACCAACCTGAGTCCCGGGGGTTGGGAAGGTTGGCCAACTAGCCTTGACAGTGTTGCGAGCAGAGGCTAATGACTGTGGAGCACCCCTGCACGCAACACCAACAAAATGACATTGAGCCTGTTCCAAAACAAGACTCTTGCCCCTACCTGGTCTGGCAAGTGGCACCTTCATAGCAGACTGAGAGTCAGGACAGCTGCAGCCACAGTGCCAGTGGGGAGCATGAAAGGGTTTGGCCATGGCCCAGGAAATGGAGGGAAGGCTGTCTCAGATGAGAAGGGAAGCCACCGAGCACCAAAGCAAGCACCGTATGTTGATGTGCTGCCTTGAAAACCGGAAGCCATTGCATGTGAGGAGGATGCCACAGCGCCCCACACCTGTGGGTGTAATGGCTTGTGCCACTACAAAGGGTCTCTTACATGTACCACATGCTCTTGCCAGAGGACTGATAGTACAGGCCTGGTAATCACCCTGGCTGCGAATGGCAGGGTGGCTGGTGGCCAGGAGTCATGAGAGGAGATGGTTCGGAGTCAGGGCCCAAAGGGAGTAAATAGAAAAGAGGGAAAGAAAGGGAAACAGAAAGAAAACCCAACCTCCGAGACAAGGCCCTGGGGAAAGTGTCTGGCCATGCAAAAGTGGTAATCACCTTGACTGCGAGGCCAGTTTGTCCCTTTCCCATAGTGTGCCATCACACGAGTAAACACTGAAATCCCAGGGACAAGGAGAGAGAAGGATGCATGGTGTGCCCCACAACCAGTCACCCCACCAGTGGTGTGGGAGGAAGAGGATGGATGTGATAGGAGTCGTGGCCTGGGTAGAGGAAAGCAAATTTTGGACTCTGTTTGCTGCTGTTCCCGGTGTCTGCCCTGCCCCTGGAATCACCCTGGCTGTGGTGTGGTCGAAAGGGTATACCTCCAGATCCCTGAAGCAAAGGGATGCATCATGGACCTTTGCTAGGCAAAGTTTCAACAAGTCAGCATCCTGATATGCAAGCCCATCCCCAGCCGCGTGGCCTGCCAACCATAGATTCCGCCCCCATACTGGAACTTCAATGACATCAGTGACCAAAACCGCTGCCCACATCCCATGCCCAGGAAGAATCTGCCAAGCCAAATGCAGATAGTGGGGTGAATGACGCAGGCTCCCCCAAGTTGCCTAAACCTTATGTGATGCTGATGAGTTGGAACTGCAGCCTTGGAAGGAAGACAAGTTGCCATGGAAAGGAAAACAAGTCAGCCTGGGAACTAGGAGGATTCTATTGGCCTGCTGTGCCCACCCGGCTCTTCCAGAATCACCCTGCCAGTGCTGTGGGAGAAAGGAGATAGCTCCACAACAATCTTTCCCTGGCAAACCCAAGCACAGAATTCCTACCCCATGGCAACTCCCCTACAGTGTGCCCCCCCAAAAAAACCCGAGAACCACACAACAGGACGTGCTGCCTCGGGGACCGCAACCAGCTGCCAACATCCCATTCCCAGGAAGGATCCACCTGCCAAGTGCAAGTTACATGGAGCGATTTACACAGGCTGCTTCCAGTGCCTGTGATCACTGGAAGCCCCTTAAATCAGCCTGAACAAATGAGACACATCAAATATTATTAGGGAGTGCTATGAAGAGGATGTTGTTCTGGGAGATACTAGGGTTCTTCTGAGTGAGGTTGATGTTTTTTGGGTTGGCTGTGGGGCTATTCCAACAAAGCCCTGCAGAGGTGGCCATCTTCCCAGCCAAGCACCAGGGGTGTGACTCGTGGGCCACATGCCAGGATCACCCAGAGAGGAAAAGGAACAGGGGGACACGCAGGAAGACGACCAGGAGCTGTGACCTTACTTTGCAAGGTCCAGAGCAGGGTGGCCAAGCAGGAGGAGGTTGACCTTCAGGAAGGCCAATTCATCCACCCTGGCCGGGTCCAGGCAGGAGCAGTGGGGGCTGAGGATGTCTCCCAGGTGGGAGAACACCCAGCCACTCTGCACACTGGTGGCAGAGCAGGAAAGGAGATTAATGGCCACCCTAGCAAGGTCTAGCCATATAATACTCTTGCGCACCCAGTATTGAAGGGGGTCAGAATTAGTGGGCTCAGGGGACTCTCCAAGGTACTCCCTGACCATCAGCTCAATGGAGTCCTCTACCATTGCACACCTAGCCCCCCCAGCACTGCTCCTGACCTCCTCCTTCACAATCGACAACCAGAACTGGGGATTCTGGGTCACCTCTTATCAGGCTGTGCACTCCATTCTTCCTTCCTCCTCCCCCACAACTTCTTCCGCCTGCTGTTGCCTCTGGCCGTGTCCATGACTCTGAAACCTGCACACCTCATGGCAGAGGTCACACTTCAACTGAATGAGCTGTGCATTACAGAGGGTGATGCTGCACTTGATGTGGGGGCTGCACATGTAGGCCAGCTTGTACTCCCGTCGAACCACTCAAGCTACATTGTGTTGTTGTGGCAATGTTTTGCCACCATGTGGTCCGCATCAATCTCCTGAGCATCCAGAATCATCTTATAGCCAAGTGGCAGTGGGCCTCTCCCCTCCCAAGGCGTGGCCGTCATCCCACTTTGGAGTTCCTCTAGTTGCCACCAGTGGGTGGTGAGAAAGAGGTAGCGGTGATGCCAGCCGTTCCAGAGGTTTGCCATCAGGTGGATGGTTTGCCCTCACGCTTTGGAGAGTTCGGCCTTGATCAGCTCCACCATGGAGCAATGTATGGAGGGCAACAGTCACAGGCTCATGATCCTCCTGAAGGGGATGGTGTACCAGGCAACCACATGGTGCATCAGCCAATAAAAGGCCACATCCTGCACAAGGAAGAATGGTGGGCCATCAATGGTGGGCCATCAATGGCAATCATTTCACTGATGGAGTGAATGACTGTCTTCTGAGCCATCCTCCCTGCCCCTTTTCCCGGCACTGGAACATCCCTGTGAGCATGACTTCTTGGAGGGTGGCTTGCCTTGTAGTCCCATCCAAAGACTCCAAAGAACCTGCAGCCACTCTTTGGGTGGCCTGCTCTTTCCATTGCCTCTCCCTGCTGAGCGGGAGTGAACCTCTTCCGCCTCCCACTGGTGGCCAACACTCCTTTCTCCAGCGATGACAAACTGGGGTGTGCCCTTTGCAGGTGCCTCTGGAGAACGGTGGTGGCTAAGTGTTGTGGGTCCCTGCCCCTCCATTCACGGCCATTGCATACCTGGCACTCCACCAGAGGGTGGAAGTATTTCCATGTTGTGAAGTGGAACTGTGTCCCCACATCCATTGTTGAAGCAGGTGGAAGGCACAGCTGCTTCCTGGCATTGGGCTGGGGAGTGCTGGATGAGGACATACTGATGGAAGCAGGAGCAGCAGGAGTTGGGAATCTTGGGATGTGGAAGGGCAGGATGCATCACCACCACCACTCTCCAAGTCACTGCTGTGACTGTCCTCCCTTCAAAACAGAATTTCATGCTGCAACTTAGGCAGCAATGCTGAAAACTCTTGAGTGGCAGTTGACAGCCCCGTGGACATGGACAGAGCAGGGGAAGTGGGCGCCAAGACCCCCGATGATGTGCTGGAGGCATCCTCCACTGGGAGGGAGGCTGTGCTCGTCACCCACAACCACTTGGCACAGGGGAAAGTGATGGCATTCTCCTGTGGACACAAGTGTGACCCCTTCTACCCCCTCTCATGGCACCGAACACCTGACCAAACAAGCACCCAACCTAATTGCAGCCCAGGTGTGTGTGTGTGTGTATATAAAATGGCAGAGAACTAATTTGAATCCCCCCCCCCAAAAAAAAGCAGCCCAAAAAAATACCCCAAAAGCAATCTCATGTCTCACTGCAACCCAAAGTGGGGAGGGGGATGTTTTGAAATAAAATGAAAAGAAAAAGGAAGGGAAACCACCAAGGAAGCAGACAGCGGGAAAATCCCACTAAACAAAAATGCTATGTGAAAGAGAAATTCAATCCTGATTATCCCACCCTTTGCAGCAAACAAACAAGCCAAACCAAATCACAACACAGAGGAACCCTGGCCCCTGACTGAGTAGGCTAGCTAAGCAATCCCCCCCACCATGCCCAGCAGCAAAGCTCTTTCACGAGTACACCCTCTTCGTCCAAACCCACAATGCCAACAAAGGGAACGCACACTTGTCCTGAGTCCCTTTGTGATGAATGGGAACTCTGTTATTGGCAGGCAGCAGTGCCTGTCAAGCTTTGGAGGGTCCCTATTTGTGTTTCCAAGGCTGGAAAACACCACCCCCACCATTGTCTAGCATTTTTGTGCCACAGTTTCATTTTCCAAACAACCCCAAGCTGCACCCAAAATCCTGGAGATTTCTTTGGAGACCACATATGTCCTGAATGTCACCTCCCAAGCCCTGATCCAGCCAGAATTCAGCATGAACTTTGGTTTATCACATGGTTCATGCCCATCCCTACTGATTATGTTAATCTTATCTCATATATAATGGCAATCACTTACGTTTGTTTTTGTTATTGTTTCAGGAATATATTTTCCGAATAGATCCAGCTACTAGCCTTGGTTTAGGCTCCGATTGTATCGCTAGCTATTGTATAGGTGATATCATTAGATCCCATAGCCAAGAAGTGCCTGAATTGCTGCCTTGTGGGTATCTGGTTGGGGATAATAATGTAATCACTGTGAACCTTAAAGGTAAGACCATGTTTGTCTTCTATTGTTTTGCTCTAGTAACCAAACTATAATTTCTCCCCCCCCTCCATTATCTTTTCAGCACAATGCAGTATTCTGTTATTACAAATATATTTTTAGCTTAGGCAGCATTCTGTTTGTATCAGTAAATGGACACATAGAAGTAAGGTTCATCATACATAAATTTCCAAAACAAGGACAACTCAGTAGCAATTGGGACCTCATTGTGGTAGCAGACTGTAAATGTTAACAACCAGGTTCAAAATCCACATCAGTTTTATTTATTTATTTATTAATCCCATTTGTAACTGAAGTACCTGAAGAAGTACTTTTCTTCCTTTCTCACAATACAAGAACTTGGGGGCACTAAATGAAATTGCTGAGCAGTAGACTTAGAACAGATAAAAGGAAGTACTTCTTCACTCAAAGAGTAATTAACACGTGGAATTCACTGCCAAAGGAAGTGGTGGCGGCTACAAGCATAGAAAGCTTTGATAGGGCATTAGGTAAATATATGGAGCAGATGTCCATGAGTGGGTATTAGCCACAAGGTATAGATGGAACACTATGTCTGGGGTACGAGTGTGCCAAAACACACACACACACACAAATGAAATTTTTTAGTTTGGGTCTATTGGACCAAAAAAAATTCAGTATTTCTGAAAAATCCAGGATCCCAATACCGGTATGGTATTGGGATCTGGGATTTTTCAGAAAGCCTGATTTTTTTGTGTGCCCAATAGACCCGAACTGGAAAATGCTGGGGCTGGGTTGGCTTCACCTGCAGCATGATTTAAACCACACTGCAGGAGAAGTTGGCCCCAGGATCTTCATACAGCGGGGAGGTCTCTCACCATCACACACAGACCTGACTGGGAGGGCTTCTCATGTGGCACAGTTTAAACTGCACTGTGGGAGAAGCTGCCCCAGGATCTGCATGTGGCGGGGAGCTGTCAGATCCTGGGCTGGCTCCTCTTGCAGCTCAGTTTAAACCAAGCTGCAAGAGAGGATCAGCTGGAGTGGCGGAAGCTGAGAGCTCTGCACTGCCTTTGCTGAGGCTGGCTCCTCTTGCAGATTGGTTTAAACTGAATAAACCCACATAATAACAAAAAAAAAAAAATGGCTTTTATTCAGGCTCAGCCATACCCATAGCTGATCAGATTCTCTGTATTCGGCTAAAATAATGCCCGAAAATTACCAGTAAGGTATTTTGGGGGTATTTTTTCTGCTTAGTTTATACTGAATGAATAAACCCTGCTCTGTGGTGGTGATGCTTTGTATTCTTGGTGCTTGGGGGGGGGCAACAGTGGAAGGGCTTATGGAGTTCTGTCCCTTTTGGTTGACCTCCTGATGGCACCTGAGTTTTGGCCACTGTGTGACACAGACTGCTTGACTGGATGGGCCATTGGCCTGATCCAACATGGCTTCTCTTATGTTCTTATGTACCATGGATTTCAACTTCTGTTCAGATAAACATTTATTGGTGCGTAAAGTGATGCCATCAGGTAGTATGAAGCTGGTTAGTTTCAGCCCTTCATTTATAAAAGAAATCATGTAACCTAGCCAAGTGTTTATCAATTTCCCTCCTAAATATCTAACATTAGACAAAAAGAGAATTTTAATATGAGGATCAGGAGTTAGATTTCTGAATCAGCCACTTCAAAACAGGAACTTTAAATATTTCATACACCTCAGAGGAGCTTGCTGTTTTGAGGATCTTTCAAAAAGACTTTTGTCTCATTTGATGTGATTTCTCTCTTCTGCTAACACTTGCTGCTGTCACTTTGACCTTTTGATTTTAAATGCCTCTAACGTTTCAGATGCAGTTAGTTGCCTCACTGAATTTTTGCTTCACATTTGCTCCCACTCATCAAATCATGTGGCTAAGGCACTCTTTAATGTTTCTAGCCTGTAGGAAAAGGTCTCTATTATGCTGTATATCGCATAATGTGAGGGAAGGTTTGTATTGGAGGCCTTTACCTAGGGTCAAGTTATCAAAAACAGCAACCAACTTCAAAGGTCCCTTCTATGAATTACTGCATACTTTCCAATCATGACAAAGAGTATAGAGATTACAGATCCCCCCCCCTCTTTTCCCTCTCCCCTTATTTCCAGGAGTAGAAGAAAATAGTTTGGACAGCTTTGTATTTGATACCTTAATTCCTAAACCAATTAGTCAACGGTACTTTAATTTACTGATGGAACATCACAGAATTATCCTGTCAGGACCTAGTGGAACCGGGAAGACCTATTTAGCCAACAGACTTGCAGAATATGTGATAACTAAATCTGGCAGGAAAAAAACGGAAGATTCCATTGCTACCTTTAATGTAGATCACAAATCCAGCAAGGTAAGATACTAGAAAATAAGAGCACTTAAAACATAAAGTGTTACAGATCTTCAGATATTTTGTTCCATGCTTCAGAGTTCTGCACCTGCTGCTATCTTTGTTTTTCTACTTTAGATTTTATAGCCACTTTAAAAGCAAATAATATGTTAGTGTACCCAGATGTATGACAATTATTTATATGCATATGCTTACATCTCAAATCCATACTATTTCCAGAGATATCAAAATTAAGTGGTACATTTTCCTTGTTAGTTTTGCTAACAATAAATTGCATTGCCTAGCCATCTCTTTTCTGCACATATTAGCCCTATGCATATTGACTCACCATGTGGAAAGGTGTTGCCCCATCCCCCTGCAATTGCCGAGACATCTGCATAGTGTGAACACATGGAGGAAATGCCCATGAACACACCTCCTCCCCTGCGATCAGCAACATTTGGACAGCAACATCAGTGATCACAGAGAGAAGGCAGGGAGAAGGCACTTCCTCCACCAAATACCCAGATTTAGACTCTCCCAACTGGAAAGGAAAAGTCTGTAGCTAGTGAGAATAAGACAGGAGGAAGAGCAGGAGGAATGCCACTGACCACACAGGCAGAAAGCAGCTTATACACCCTAGCTTAACTACTATTAAAAGAGGTCTTTGAAGATAACACAGTAGTCAAGCAGGCTTGATCAGCAGCACAAATGCTGGCTTTATACATGAACAGATGGATGAACATGATCAGGTCGTCGTCCCCCCCCCCCCCAGCCATTTTTAGATAACAAAGGAAATTGATTTTTCTCTCATCTTGCCCTGCATATGTGTATAGTTCTTATTTTCTGCTCTTTGGTTAGAAGCCAATATCCTGTGCTCTGCAAAGCAAACCCGTTGCCTAATCTGCTAATCGTTTTCTTTCCTTGCCCCCTCTCCCCATTGCCATCTGAGAGGACCGAACTTAAATATAATGTGGGGAGTGTAGACTAAAAGTAGAATGCAGCCACAGATATTGTGCTCCCAAGCTGTATTTGTCCTAGTTGTTATCCAAATGCACATGCCTAGAAATGATTCCATTGTGTGGAATCTGCTCTGGACAGTCTGGTTTATTGTTTCCTGCGGGTTGCTGTGTGTTTTATTCTATGTGTAAATTACTTTGGCAACTGTTCAAAAATCGAAGCAACACCAGTACTAACAGTAAAACTTGCAGACTTGCAGCAAGGGCTTTCCACCTTGCTCCCTGGAATGAGATCCTGCATGATTTAGTGAAGGTCTGGAGCAAAGCCTTGATGGGCCTTGCTTTGCCAGTCTACATTATTATAACATGTCCACTTCTGGAATAAAGAGTTCAACTTTGATGGTCTTCTGGTTCTTCCAGACCTCGTGATTCTAATGTCTAAATTCAAACATTGGGTGAAGAAGGTGTGTAAGTAGAACTATTTCTGTTTTACTTCAATTTTTTTTAATTTTCTTTTAAGGATTTACAACAGTACCTTGCTAATTTGGCTGAACAGTGCAGTGCTGATAACAGCAGTGCAGATCTTCCTATAGTAATAATTCTTGACAACCTCCATCATGTTGGTTCTTTGAGTGACATCTTCAATGGTTTCCTTAACTGCAAATATAACAAATGGTAGGTGAGCTCTTTACTTCATTCTGAAATATTTTGAACAAAAAAGTCATTGGAGCAATTGTTGCAGATTGTAAATGAAATTCTTTGCCCATTGTGGCAAACCATTTTAATTTCATACTTCATTTAGAAACATGACTGATGCCTTTATTAGTTAGTTACCTATTCACCATGTTTCATTCTGAGTGCTGTTTGTGATCTTTTAGGAAACTATCATTTAAACATGAAGTTAAGGGCCAAAAGTTTAGGACAATAGTAATTGTCATGGATGGAGAGGGCTGCAGTCCCACTGCCTTACCTGAACCTAGGGACTTTCTCCTTGAGGCTTTCCAGACTGATGCTGGCTGGGGACCACCTGGTGGAGACACTTGCCACTCAGCTGTTCAGCACTGACTGGCTGCTTAAGGGTTTGCCAATTGTTTATCAGTCCCCTGCCCTTCAGATGCTTGCTGGCTGATGGACAACATAGGGGAGGCGAGATAGTGCCATCCTAGCAACTGTGGTCTGCTTCACACACACACACACACACACACACACACACACACACACACACACACACACACACCCCTCTGGGGGAAGGAGGCAGTTTGCTTCTAGCAAGGCATTAGAGGAAATCATCAAGGATTGCACAGAAGGTAGCCAAGCCTATGAAAAGGGCAGGCAAGGAGGCCAATGAGTGCCGTCTGGTTCTGGCTCCTAGCAAGAAGGATGCAAAACCAGAGGAGACAAGGTGGGGGAAAACCCCTCCCTCTCTAACTGGGGCCAAAGGAGGCAACCCAGCAGAGATAGCTGGTTGTAGCTGTCAAGGACAGGGGCTATGTAAAAATTATACATTTGAAGACTATGTTTAGTACCTTACTGGACTGAACCCTACCATGAGTGCTGTAGAATCAAGCACTTTACCATATTGATTTAAACCTTAATATTAGTCTCTTATTGTAGATATAGCACTTATAAATGTCAATAAGCACTGAAAAACATCTTATAAAAGTAACTGTTGCTTATCCTGTTTAGGGACTCAGAGAAACAGCTACAGCATTCATTCTAGTTAAGGCTTTATAAAAGAGCCAAGCTAGGTGGAAGGAACTGAAAATTAGCAGCAGCCACTGGCTGCTCTGTTGCTCACATCTGTTGCTCACATCCATTTTTGAACGAAGGTGAAGGTCAAGAGAGGAAGGGATGGGGCAGTCAACTGGCAACAGTGAGAAAAGGTGAAAATATTAGATATGTATCAAAAATAAATATGTGCAGAAATTTCTCAAATCTACTTGACACAGACCAATCCTGTTTAAAATATTAGTTTACAGAGCATAACATTAAAGGTTATATAAATATGGGAGCCTTTATTAAGATGTATCCATTTATTCTTTAGCCCTTATATTATTGGAACAATGAACCAAGGGATTTCATCTTCACCTAACCTCGAGTTACATCAAAACTTCAGGTAAATATCTTTCTTTGTATTTAAAACCTACCTGGAACTCTTTGATGGTCAACAGAATCTGTGCTGTGTGTCCTTTAAAGGTGGGGCGGGTTGGGACATGAGAAGGCATTTACCAGTAATGGCACCTGCCTTGTTAGCCTTCCAAGGCAGGTCAAGGGGCTGCTGTTTTAATGCACCTTTGACCAGGTTATAGGCAGTTATGGATTTATTTGCCCTTTAGATTTCTGTTGGATCTGGTGTATTTTTAGGAATCTTTTTTTGTAAGAGCTTTAATATTTTAATATTTTGTCAAAGTAGTATGGCTTGTGAGCTACATTAAATACCGTATTAGGATGGAAAGCTTTTAAAAACTGAACAGTCATAAAACATGCATTTTGACATGTTCAGACCATTTTGTTTACATTTGTAATATCTGAATGGCAGTGCCTGTGTTTGTTCCAATGTGGGCATGCAGCTCAGGAAGCACCACCTGTATAGATATTGTAAAACAAAAACAATATGTCAAGTGGCCATTAACATGGCATAATTTGACCTTTGCAAAGGGCAGCCAAGGCTTCTTTCCACCTCATTTATCAGGTACTCAGGTGGTACAAATGGTTGTTCACTCTACCACAGTTGTGTATGTGATTTCGACTAGCTTAGGATGTTGGAGCCAAAAAGGTCATTTTTAAGAACATAAGAGAAGCCAATGTTGGATCAGGCCAATGGCCCATCCAGTCCAACACTCTGTCACATAGTGGCCAAAAATACCAGGTGCCATCAGGAGGTCCACCAGTGAGGCCAGGACTTTTGAAGCACTTGTTTCTGTATTGGATAGAACACCATAGAATAAGTACATTAAAATTTAATAGAATTTACTTTTACTGACCCCAACACTAAATCTGAAGGACATCTATGTGTTGTGAGGCAGAAAGACATAGACTTTCCTCCTAAGGCAGATCCATAGGCCATCTAGATCCACAGGCTGTTCATTGATGATGACCAAGCAAAAGCTACAGGGCAAGATGTTGATAGCCAACTCCTGCTATTAATTCCTAACATCTTATAGTTGCACTGTCTGGAACACAGAGGTTTTTACCAAGTGTCATAGGCCATATCTTCCATGTAATTACCGAATCTTCATCTAAAACGCTCCTGCTAGTGTGGCAATGATTGCCATAAGTTAATTATGCTGTATGTAAAACTGCACTCCTTTTTGTTTGACTTAAATCTGCTGTATCATCAGTTTAGTGTATGGCACAGACTTTTTGTATTTTGAATCTGTTCATTTCATTGATTCCTTCCCTTGTGTAGGTGGGTATTGTGCGCTAATCACACAGAACCCATTAAAGGGTTCTTGTCCAGGTATTTGAGAAGGAAATTGATTGAGACAGAAATAGAGAGGAATGTCCGCAATAATGACCTCATCAAAATTATTGACTGGATTCCCAAAACGTGGCATCATCTCAACAGCTTTTTAGAAACGCACAGTTCTTCTGATGTAACCATTGGTGAGTCTACTGTTCAGATAATAATGCAAATGGAGGGTCAAAGTTTGAACCTAAGTCTTACTGCGAGTCTGCTGAGTTGAAGTCAATCTAATCAACAGTTGACCTTCTGTATCTGTAATGAAAACCTCTGGGAGTTGGTTGGATTAGAATTCACATTTGCAAACTTAACAGCAGTATATTACACCACTATAAATAAAATGTTCCTGCTAAAACTAAATAAAGATACACATAACTCACTCACCTTTCATAACTGCAGTGTTGAGTCTTCTTCCTTCCTTTGTATCTCTCCTTGTTGCTCTTATTCATTCTGAATAGTACAAATACAGTCAGGAAAGCCTGTTTTCCACCAGGCTTATGGGATTCAACTTTCTCCATCTCTTAGCTGTGTATATCTTCTGTGTATTTTCAACAATTTGTTGTACTTACTCGTGACTGCATCTTTCCTCTTAGAAATGGGTTTCTACAGATGTTCAGCCGCTGCTGTGGGAGTGCGTGCGAACAAAAACCAAGAGACAGCCTTTTATTTCAGAACTGCACACTTTATTTGAACTGTATTGGCGTACTACAGTGAAGACTTCTGAAACCACTCAGCCAGTCATGGTTAATAAGTTGTCTCAGAAGTCATTTCCTACAAACTATACTTTAAACAGTTTAATTAAAATGTTTCTCATTGGCCTAGAAATTTAAATTCGAAGACCATTCAGGTCTCCCGTAGCATTCAGCTGGTTGTATCCCTTGGCTGCACCAGCCTTCTGTGATGGCAAAGTAGCTAACACTGCATCCACACATCGTTGGATACTGAGCTATTGAACTACAGCAGACATGTGCAGCTCGGATGCTTTGTTCGCACAAGAAAAACCCATAGTGGATGACTGCTATAGTGCAGTGCTAGTTCAATATCCAACTATGTGTGAATGTAGTATGAGACGTTGGCAGCCAGAGGGGCTTTGACCTCACTGATGAAATTGGCCCTTTGTGACATCAAAAGAATAGCTCAGAAGAATGGCCTCAGAAGACAGAGGGTTCAGAGGCCCAGAATATGATTGCAAGTGTGTACAGATTCAGGAATACGGAGTGGAGGTTGAATGAGCCAATTTTATATATATTCAATAGGAGAGAGAGAATTGCAAAAATCACCTTGGGCCTTTTGCTAAATGTTTCCAAATGGCCAAAAATCACTAAGTACCCATAGGCAGTTGCCTGCATGGCAGCTGGCAACACAGACATGCAAGTCAGATAATGTTTCACATAACTGTTTGCAATATGGCTTGCCTTGTTTTCAGATGGAATATATTTTGTATTATTCCCACAAATGTAAACAAGGGTTAACTGGAACCCATAGAGGATACTGATTTTTATAAAAGCACAAACCATATTGCTATATCACAGACACTGAAAGCAATGCTATATATTATGAATGCAACTTTCCCAGTGTGCAGATAATGAAGAAACATCCTACTATATATTTCTTTTAGTCACTGATTTTTCATTCTTATATGTGTTTTCTACTATGAGTGTGTCATGTATACTATAAATGGATTCTTCAAACTCTTGAATTGCTAAGGAAGTATGATCAGGATAGCATCAACAAGGATGCTAAAAGATTATGTTCTGCACTTCATTGGGGCTTTTCAACACATTTGTTTTCTGTCGGTCAACAATATTTTAACTTTGTTACGGTCCTGATATATTTTCAGCTTTTCTTTTTAGCCCAAGTAAATGCACTACCTTTGGCAGAAACTGTGGTCCATTGTGCTGGGGTCCCTCTAGCCAGAGATTTTGTCCATGTGGGATAGCAGACATTTTTTCTTTAGCTGTGTTATAAAGGGCTCACTTTATAACACCTCTTTTTGCCAAGTTTCCTGTCTGCTTGTATGATTTTCTCTTCTTATTTTTCTTGGCTGTAGCGATAAGGGAATCACACTCTCTGTAGTTAAATTTATTCTTCCTACTCTTGAAATTAGGAGTCTGTATGTACCATCCAAACCTGGGGATTGATCTTCCCCCAAGTATTTAATAATTTGCAACCTGTTTTTGATTCACCCACATGCTTTGGCACATAGGTGCTCAAATTTCGGAACAGGAACAGGATTTTTCAAATTGTGTTTAACTAAATTGGTCCTTTCAGGTCCACGCCTCTTTTTGCCTTGCCCTATGGATGTGGACAGTTCCAGAGTGTGGTTCACAGATCTCTGGAATTATTCCTTGGTACCATATATTATGGAAGCTGTGAGAGAAGGCCTTCAGGTAAGCACTTTTCTGGAGGCACTTTATTGGGGGGGGGGGCTTAACTCAGACCCCATAAATCCAGTCCTCCCCAAACTTGGAAGGCTGGTAGAGGACAGTCAGCCAGAGATCCCCTGCAAGTTTGGTATCTCTAGCAATGTTTCCTCTAAACCACTGGTTCCCAAAGTGGGCAATACCACCCCCTCAGGGGTGCTGGAACAATCTAGGTGCAGATCCACAAACTGCATCTTTTTGTCCACTTCTTGAAGGTAGATGTCCAGGAGGGTGCTGAGGCCACTATATTGGTAGACCTGGCCTCCAGAGAACAGGTCTACCCAACCCAGGCCACTACATTGGTAGACCTGGCCTCAGACCATCACCCTGTGCTGAGCCTTAGAAAACATACCAGCACTTAGGGGGGCAAAAACTCTCACAGTCTAGTTTGTGCTTTTTAGTGAAATATGACAACCAGCATTACAAGTCAAGTATAACAGAGGAGGAACAATCACTGACAGAACCCTGCCTAATCTAACAAACATGAAGTTGCTTAAATGTTATCAACCTGTCCAAACTACTTATTTATTCAGATACTTATATCCCACTTTTCCTTGTGACTCAATGCAGCTTACAAACCATACTGAAAAGCAAAATAGGGGTGTGCAAAAAATATATATATCTTTTTTTCCTGGCAGGCAATGTGATGTGGTGGCAAAAAAGGCAAATTCAGTCTTGGGTTGTATTAAAATCGCCATAGCATTGAAATCGCAGGAGGTCATAGCTCCTCTGTATACTGCTTTGGTCAGGCTGCACCTGGAATACTGTCTGTAGTTCTGGAGGCCTCACTTCAAAAAGGACGTGGACAAAATTGAGAGGGTGCAGAAGAGAGTGACAAGAATGATCAGGGGTCTGGAGACTGAGCCCTATGAGGAAAGGCTAAGGGCCTTGGGAATGTTTAGTTTGGAGAAGAGGAGGTTGAGGGGGGACATGATTGCTCTCTTTAAGTATTTGAAAGGCTGTCATTTGGAGGAGGGCAAGGAGCTGTTCCAGTTGGCAGCAAAGGACAGGACCTGAAGCAATGGGTTTAAATTACATGCAGAAAGGTATCGGCTGGATATTAGGAAAAACTTTTTCACAGTCAGAGTGCCTAGGGAGGTGGTTAGCTCCCCTTTCAAGAAGAGGTGGGATGAATATTTGTCAGAGATGCTTTAGGCTGATCCTGCATTGGGCAGGGGGTTGGACTAGATGGTCTGTATGGCCCCTTCCAACTCTGTGATTCTATGGCTATTATAGCCTATGGAGTGGGCCCCATAGGCTATAATGGAGAATTAATCCAGGGGTATCTGGGGCTCTGAGGGGGGGCTGTTTTTTGAGGTAGAAGCACCAAATTTTCAGCATAGCTGCTGGTGCCTCTCCTCAAAAACCCTCCAAGTTTCAAAAAGGTTGGACTGGGGGTCCTATTCTATAGGCCCCAGAAGGAGGTGCCCCATCCTCCATTGTTTCCTATGCAACATTGGTTGTGAGTTAAACAGAAATCCTCTGAGATGGCCTCTGAAATGCTGTGCACCAGCACCCTCTAGCACAGTGTAGAGGGAACTGTGGTCCCTAGAATACTGGGGGCCATTCTGCCACCTCGCGAACCTCACAAACCAAACCAGTTCATGAGGCTGCTAAAAATTTGTGATGGTTCATGGTTCACGAAAAGGGCATGCCATGTATCATGAACCAAACTGAACCATGTTTTCCCAGTTCTTGCTCATCCTTAATTCTGACAGGTCTTTAAAACCTGAGGAGAGATATTTCTTGGCAGTCTCTGCTTACATAAACAAGCACAAGCTACTTGGTCTCACTGACACTAAAGTTGGTGAAGGCAGGAACATTCACACAAGTTCTTTATCCGCTGGCTAGGGATCACCCCCATCTTCTAGGAGCTATTTCCCTCAGACTTGATAGAGACGTGATATGTGTCCCACTTCCCTAACTCAGGATCCTTCTTGATCCTCTCCCAGCCTGCTTCACTCTCTCACTGTTAACTGTCAACTCCCAACTTCTGACACTCTCAACTGAAGAATTCCATTTTAATCCCCTGTAACTCAAGGTTCTTCTACTAGGTTAAAGCATTAACCATTTACTGTCCATCATATTGACACACTCAGGGGTCGTTTCGTAGAAAAAGAGCTAGGGGAACTCATTAGCATAACTCATTAGCATATGCCACACCTCCTGGCATCAGGGGCCCGGTGGTGGACCTGCAAGGCCAGCGGGAGTGCGAGGAAGCCCCACCAAGGCCCTCCCTGGCCCCAGGCAGGCAGGGGTGGGGAGAGGCGGGGAGGAAGCCACTTACCCTCTCTCTTCTTTTGCCTCCTCCTGGCTGAATGAGGGCCGGAAGCGGGGCAGCTGGAAGCAGGGGGTGGGGCTTTGTTGTGTGCCCCCCCCCCGCACCTCACCCGGGGGAACTGCGATCCCCCCCGAAATGACCTCTGGACACACTCCTGGTTATGGCAAAGAGATGCTGGACTATATGCCTATCCAGGTTAATTTTGGTAATCATGCTTGGAGAAATTATTATCCCCTGCCCATCAGTTGGATCCTAACAATTTTTCATCTTGATTTTCTTCACTTCTTTTCCTCACTTTCCCCCTATCCCACATGGCTTTTGCCCATGCAGGTCCCATGAACCTCAGCATAGCCTTTTTTTAGGAGGTCCCTCTTTCATCAATGTAAAAGAGAAAAATTACAGAAGCATTCCTAGATTGCAGTTTCCTCACTCCCTCTATTCCACTGCACAAACAAAACAGGGTGACAAGAGATACAGTGATACAGTACAGAAGAGCAGGAAGATTGATGAGGGGTGGCAGCAAAAAGAAAGTAGCCTTCAAAACTCCCTAAAACACCATTTGTGGTTGGGAAAAAATCCTTTAATCCCTCTACTGTACTCAGATGCAGATTGTGAAGAACAAATGGTCTGTGAAAAAGTTTCTGCCTCCATCCCTAGCAACCCCCCCACCCGAGGGAGGAAGGGAGAAAAAGCTGCCACACAGCTTGGCGAGTTGGCATTGCCTTTGTCTGTTCCTCACTTGGCAAAGGAGACACTGGTCTTGTCAAGCTGAACTGGGCTGGGCAGGGCTCTGCCATTCACATGCTTCCTCACACAGGATAGGGCAAGGACTGCCTGTTATTTGGGGCTGAGGTGGAGGGGGGCAGATGCTTACATAAAATGTGCTCAGGTAATATGAAAAATATCCAAGTAATGGTCAGTCCATCTCTGGCTGTACTAATAATATATTGAAGATTTTTCAAGTGAAATGAAACAGGCCATTTGTTTGTCTTTTTAATTTTTGGGTGGGCTTTTAGATGTACGGAAAACGAGCACCTTGGGAAGATCCATCTAGATGGATTGCAGAAACCTGCCCCTGGAGCTCCCTGCAGCAAGACTGGTCATCCTTACTTCAGATAAGACCTGAAGATGTTGGATATGAAGGCTATGCATCTGCCAAAGAAGGAACCACTTCAAAGCACATTCCACAGACAGAGTCAGAAGGAGATCCTTTGGTAAATGAAAAATTATTATTTGTCTTCTACTGCTTTGTATATCATAACTTCATAAGTACTAGAGTGAAATACTTCGTTGATTATAATGAATCACTATGGAAAAGTGAGTCCGCTTGCCACCTTGGCTTGCAAGTTTGCTTGGCTCTCCATTGGGCAAGTCCTCTTCTTCTTTTTCTTCCTCTTCCTCTTCCAGTTTGTTGTAGTGGTTAAGATTGGCGGATTCTAATCTGGAGAACTGGGTTTGATTCCCCACTCCTCCACATGCAGCCAGCTGGGTGACCTTGAGTCAGTCACAGTTCTCTGTTCTCTCAAGAGCACTTCTCTCAGAGCTCTCTTAGCCCTACCTACCTCACAGGGTGTGTCTTGTAGGTAGAGGAAGGGAAGGAGATCATAAGCCACTTGGAGACTCCGAGTGAAGGGTGGGGTATAAATCCAACTCGTCTTCTTCTTCTTCCTATCACTTCTAGTTTCTAGTGCTAAGCTAAATAGGAGATAATCTTCTGCCAGATCCCTTTGTAGCTTCCTTTCTACCAGTGTCTTTCTCTTCACACCTCGTCAGTGCTTTGAGTCCCCCATCCTCCGATCTCTGCCTACTTTGTCCGCAACTCACAAATGTGTGTTGGCCCAGTCTTGTGGCTATTTACAATTTGATTGTCATTCACATTATAATTGAGGTTGAATGGCTGCAACTATGTGTCTGACTTATTCAGTTCCCAATATTCTACTGCACTCTCTTCACATCCCAACATACTTTAGAGTAATTGAGAAATGAAGTGTAGAATGGGCTATGCACAGAATAGAGCAGGGCTGGTTCATTCATAATGGTTGACATCACAAAGAATTGGGAACAGATTTAGGTCCCATCCTAATTATGCTCTAGAGTACACATCAGTATTTTTGTATGTAGGCAGATTGCTCCCATTAATTCCTATGGGCAAGAGAAAAGTGCTGCTCTTAAAGGGAGTCCAAGGAGGGGTTGGTGGGAGAGGTCCAAGAATATATTGGAAGGGGAAGAGACCAGCAGTTGTGGGGGAGGGAGGGACTGGCCAGTGAAGCTAAGCACACATTGCACAGATAATGGGAATGGATCACTAGAACAGTGTTGTAGGGGGAGAGGGAGAACTGGGGAAAACACACACACACAAACACGCACACATATTTGTATATATATCACACACACAATATACTAGGAATAAGACTCATTGTGGAAATAAATACAACGAGCTCTAGAAAGAGGCTCTGGGCAGCTGCCCTGGCCTTGGGCAATCAACCTCAGCAGGGTATAATGACACAGAGCCCACCATTTTCTCCAGGGGAACTGATCACTGCCATCTGGAGAGCAGCTGTAATTCTGAGTGATCTCCAGCCCTCACCTGGAGATTGATAGCAATGGCCCTCCAGGAAGAAATGACTCATTTGGAGGGTGGAGTCTATGGCATTGTACTTCTCTGAGGTCTCACCTCTCTACAAAGCCCACCCTCTCCAGGTTTCATCCCTCAAACCTCCAGGAATTTCCCAACCTGGAGGTGGCAACCCTATCTCCTTCCCAGCCAACCATCAACCTACCATTATCTGCCCCTCTGACTTCAGCTTTCCATCTCCCCCCCACACACACACACCCAGCTGCCACTTTTACTTAGGAAAAGTACAGTCTTTTTCCACAGTGGGGATCCAAGGAGGAGGGAAGCAACCTCAGCAGGGTATAATGACACAGAGTCCACCCTGCAAAGCAGCCATTTTTTCCAGGAGAGCCGATCTCTGCCATCTGGAGAGCAGTTTTAAATCTGAATGATCTCCAGCCCTCATGTGGAGATTGGCAGCAATGGTTCCCAAGAGGAAAAGTACAGTCTTTCTCCGCAGTGGAGACCAAAGCAGCTTTCATTGTTCTCCTCTCCCCCTTTTGATCTGCACAACAACCCTTTGAGGTAAGTTAGGCTGAAAGTCTGTGACTGGTCTGAAATCACCCACTCAGTTTCCACAGCGAGAATGTGGGTCTGGCAGACCCTGCTCTGAAGTGCTAACTGCTATTCCTAGGGTAGCCAACATCCAGGTGGAGCCTGAAGTTCGCCAGGTATCACAACTGAACTCCAGACAGCAGATATCTGTCCCCCTGGAGAAAATAACTGCTTTGGAGGGTGGACTCTATGGTATGCTATTCATCTGAGGCCTCTCCCCTCCCCAAACGTTAGCTTCCGTAGACTCCACTACAAAATATCCAGGAATTTCCCAACCTGGAGCTGGCAACCCTAGTCAGGACTGGCCCCAATGAATTCCCCACAAAGGCCAGAGAAGGCCTGGAATAAACCTCCTGGCTTTGCCTTTTTACTGACAGAACCAAACTTGGTTGCCTAGCAACAACCACTGAGGGGAAAGTTAGCTTCACAGCAGAAGAAAGAGAGAATGGTTTGACAGTTGGTGGCCCACCTCAGTAGCCAGCCTGTGGCAGAGGAGCCTAGCAGAAGTAGAAGTGTCTTTGTCAGGAGAGACAGCTGTTTTGGCAGTTTATTCTGTCAGGTAAGAGTGTCCAGGCTGACAGTGGACGGAGGAGAGGATTAGCCCCAATGCCATGTGAGTACTCTTGAGTGGCGGTTGACTGGCCAATGGCTGATGGGACACACAGCACAGCCAATGGGAGAACCAGAAAGTGCCTATATCTCTCCTTATATATAATTGTATTTTGGTTATGGACTCTCCTGAACATTCCAACACGTCTCCCAAATCAGTTGGCTCCCAGGTGTTTCACTCAGAAGCTGACCCTATCCACTGGCTGCGTTGCTTGAGTCTCACCTCCAACATTCTAAACAGTTTGCTGTTCCTCCCCCCCCTCCCCCAATAGCCAGTCAGAACACAGAGGTCATTTGCATATGTAGCCTCATTGGCCTTTGCCTCGGAACACAGAGGTTGTTTGCATATGCGGCCTCATTGGCCTTTACCTCTAACATTCTAAAGTTTACTGTTGCTGTTCTGAGGTAAAATGTGTTCTGAGAAAATGCATTTTCCCTTAGTGCCTGTTGGGGAAAACCATTGTTGCCAATCTCCAGGTGAGGGCTGGCAATCACTCAAAATTACAGCTGCTTTCCAGACAGCAGAGATCAGTTCCCCTGGAGAAAATGGACTCTGTGTCCTTATATCCTGCTGAGATGGCCCCTGTATAACAGCCAATGTGACGTAGCAGTCTGGGCTTCAGAGCACGGTAGAGGCTGCAGGTGGTGTGTGTGGAAAGCTGAAGAGTGAGGGAGAAATAAAGGTAGGTTGATGATTGGCTGGGAAGGAGATATTTTTGCCAACTCCAGGTGAGAAATTCCTGGAGATTTGAGGGGTGGAGCCTGGAGAGGCTGAGGTTTGAGGAGGGGTGGGACCTCAGACAGGTACGATGCCATAGACTCCACCCTCCAAACGAGCCATTCCCTCCCAGGGAACCATTGTTGCCAATCTCCAGGTGAGGGCTGGAGATCACTCAAAAATACTCCTGTTCTTCAGGTAGCAGAGAGCAGTTCCTCTGGAGAAAATGGTGGACTCAGTGTCATTATACCCTTCTGAGGTCACCACAGCAAACTGACAGAGTTCCCAAGGCCAGGGCACCTGCCCAGAGCCTCTTTCTAGAGCTTGTTGTAGTTATTTCCACAATGAGCCTTATTTCTTGTATGTATGTATGTATGCAAGTATGTATGTATGCATGCATGTATGTATGCATGTATGTGTGTGTGTGTATATGTGTGTGTGTATATATGTGTGTGTGTGTGTGTGTGTGTGTGTGTGTGTGTATATATATGACATAGGAAGGGGTGAGATGAAGGGATGGGGCAAATGCCTGGAAGACATTCTTCACCCCGGTCTCCACTTGTAACACTGTATATGCCTTTCCCTAGTAATATATCAACAAGACCATGTTATGCAACTCCATGTATAAGTGGCAGGCCACACTCACTTAGGATGGGAGCTCTATAAACCAACATTGATCTAGTCATACTTGAATACATTTGCAAAAGATACTCAAGTAAACTATCTTGCTTTCTCCATGGGCATTTTTGGTAGGGAAAACCATAACTCTTTCAATTTAAATAAATGCAGCATTGTACAATGCTGTCAGTGTTAGAGCAGTTCCCTGAACACCAGAGCAAGAGGGGATACTTTATAAATACCAACTATAATTATAGTAATTTTAGGCACAGAGCCTCTTAGAACTCCCCAGGGCTCTTGCTGTTAAGTAAGATGTGCTTGAAGGCTCCTCTGGAAGCCAGCCTCGCAGCTGTGGTGTGCTTCTTTCTCTTGCCAAGGTCAGCTCCTGGACAGCAGATGGTGCTCTTGTATTTGGCAGCTGACTTCAGCCCACTCCAGTCACCTCTCTCCTGTCTCTAAGGCAGCATGGATGTGCATGCAAAAGCTAGGTCTATTTTTACCTTGCTTAAGTTGAGTATAACCTTTGGCAATGGGGAAATGTGTTGCGGGGCTGAACTCCTGAGTCCTGGCTCAGATCAAGAGTTCCTTGTCCCTTATATCCCTCCGGACATTTGAATTTTTTTGTGTGAGAAAGATTTTCTTTGGAGGAGCAATCTCTTGTCAGTTGTGATTTCCAAAGCATTGTGCCATTACCAGTCCTGCTGTGAAGGGCTGCATCCATCCCCCATCTGTGTGATTGATTTCAATGAGAGCAACAGAGCCACTGTTGCATTAACTCTTACAGCAATGACATAAGCATGTCCTCCACCTTTCTTTCTCAGATGAATATGCTCATGAGACTCAAAGAAGCAGCCAGCTACTCAAGCGCACAGAGCTGTGACAGTGATACTGCTAGCCACCATGATGACATTCTGGACCCCTCGCTTGAATCAACCCTCTAGAGGGGCCTGGGCCTGGTTAGCGGATGCTGGTAAAGCCTGTTCCCACCAACCACTGCCGTTACTGAAGCAGCAAGTAAGGGTGGCTCGAGGTGTGTGTGTGTGTATGCTGTGTCGTATTTAGGCAGGTGAATAAACTCTGGAAGGTCAGGAAAGCAAATCAAAATGGAAAGGTTGAACTAGTTTAATTTCAAGAGATTTCACTGTCAGGGGAGCTAAGTGAGACTCCGTCAATCAACTGGAAAGGGCCAGGGGGAGGGGTAAACTAAGCAGATTGCACACGTGTTAGCCAAACTGGAATTGCTCTGGGTGTTTTTTTTTCCTCCTTGTCTCAAAGTTTACAGTGCAAGCCTTTTATTTTGCATTACAATTGACTCCAAGGTGCTGCATTAGTGGTCTTCTTGATCCTCCTCCTCTCACCTCCGTCGTGCCCCCATGGCTCTGATGACAGGACTCCAGTAGTGTTTGGATTGTACACTGCTGCCCATTCCAAAATGAGTCGGGAAAAAGTGAGAGTAAATTCAATAAGCACAAACAGTGTTGTGCAATTGCCAGGAAAAACGCTACTGTGATATGCTGGATAAGTGCCAAGTTGATACTGACCTGCCATGTTTGCAGCGATGTGGTCCACCAAGGTTTCTGGGAGGTTTTTTTTGTACAGATCATCTGTTTTATATATACAAGTTGTTTTTAACCACAAGGATATTTTTAGACACCTGCCCACCTCTTAACAAGGGTTTTCTTTTTTACCAGTTCTTATCCAACACTGACAAAAGGCTTTCTTAGGGCTTCATTTGTTTTGAGCCTTTTCAGTGGAATAAAGAAGAACATTTCCTATGGTGCTGTCTCACTGCCTTAAAAACCGATTTCTAGAACAGTTTGTTGGTTTAATTTGTTAAACCATTGATTATTTACACTGTTTTCTTTCTTCATTGACTAACGAGAGAGCATCAGTGAACACAGTAGCCTCATGTCTGTATGTCATGGTTTTTAATGAAGTGGCTAGAAGAACGAACTATTGATATAGATATATAGATAGATTATATAGTATTTTTATCTTGTGTGAATAGATAGGTTACCATCTAAAATATTCAAGTGACCCAGAAGCCACTCCCAAGTAACTATGTTTTAAGAAAAACAAAAATTCAAGGCAGTCGGCTCACATCCATTTGGTCCTATGGAAAAGAGCATATTCCAAAAGAGATGTTTTGAAATCTTATCCAGCAGAGCTGGGTACACTTGATGCAGCATGAGCACAAATGTTTCTTTATTTTTTCCCCTCACCTCTCCCTCCTCCCTAGTTTGTAGCATGTTGTTTTGATTGCAATTGTTGTACATGAAGAAATTCAGCATTAAAGAACACTGACACAGTGATGTCCACTGTGGAAGAGAGAAAAAATTTATACTGTAAAAGGGGAAGGGGGGGTGGTTTTGCACAGTCTGCTAAGGGAGGGTATATTGTAAATTTACAAAAAGCCTTGCACAAATGAAAGCAAACAAACAGGAGCAACAACAAATAAGAAATTGTATTTCATCCAATTGGTGTTAAGAGATGTTTCATTTACTGAGATGACCTCTATGTTACATACAATCCAGAACACAATCTGTATGATCTGTTTTGGTTTTTTTTAAGCCAGATGTATTTGTCTTGTCGTTAGAAGTGTTATGACTATGCAGGAGTTATCCGTGCTAGAGTCAGCATGTTTCAGTTTACATTATGAAGCCAATATATCTTAGAAAACAATGAACAATTGAAGTGCATCTGTCCTGGCAGGCTGCACCAGATTGAATGAAAACTGATCAGAATAATTAGAAATGTCAGTTCAAAAATAATCCAAGGGCTATGGCATTGTGTAGACATGCACTGTACACATAGGGCCACAATCCTGAAACCATTTCTTGGATCATACCCAGTTCATTGCAATGGGGTGTGCACCAGTGGAGTGCTTTGAGGATCGAGTTATCCAACAAATGTATTCAGGACATGTAATTGGTGCTACTAACTCCTGTGACTATCTGGTGGCTATATGTTTTATAAAACAAATAAGTCAATGCAGTTTTCCTTGCTGTATCACCAAATTTACAGGTCCGCTGCACGGTGCTATTGCCCTACTTAAAAAAAATAAATCTGATTTTATGCACATAGAATGTAGTTGGATGGATGCCAGCCACCAAATCTATTATTACTGAGCATGCCACTCTGTCAAATTACTAAAGGAACGACTGTTCTTTAG